CCCCTCTCCACCCCTCCCTCCAGGAGAACCCCACGCCCCACCTCCTTCAGGCCTGCACTCCAAAATGACTCTCTCCATGAGACCCATCTGCTTCAAAACCTCCCCAACATTTCCCTCCATGACACTGAGACTGGGGTGCTCATCCACACATGTGAACAAACAAACAAATGAATGAATGAGTGAGGCCTCAGGAATGAGCTGAGAGTTTACAGAGCAGAGAGAGGGGAGAAAAGCCAAGCTGGGCATCCCAGAAGACCAGGGGCTCGGCTGCCCAAGCAGCTGGGGCGAGGGCAGCCTCGGCACTGGGGTGGAACAGGGTCGGGGAGCTGCCAGGAGCTCAGGAGGGGCAGCGGGGGTCTTGGGGAAAGCCAGCACAGGCAGGGGTGCGGGTGGGCTGGGCTGCAGTGAGGGAGAGGAGGTTGTGAGCGAGGACCCTGGGTGTAGCCGGTGGGGGCAGCTGGGGAGGGCATGGCTCGCCCAGAGCTGGGAGGAAGAGGACCCTGAGCCCGGTGCCCCAAGGGTCCCACGAGGGGAGGCAGGCAGGGCTCAGTGGATCTTCGGGGGCGGGTGGTGCATCGGGCTGGTGGGAGACAGGCTCAGACCTGGTCTCCAGGGTAGGGAGACCGGGGCAGGGTGCTTCACTGTGGGATGTGCCAACACTGCTGGGCCTGGGCCCTCTGCCCCACCTGGGCCCCAGCCCTCACCGCTGTCAGCCTCAGGCTGCCCCAAGATGGGCACAGTGTCCCTATCCACCTGGCTCTTGCCCTCACCCTTGGAGGCTGGTCCTACCTCCTCCAGGCAGCCCCCCAGCCCTCTGCTTGGAATTCTCAGAGCAGTGAGTGTGGACAGCCTGTGAACACCACCCGAGCCCGTGGGGGACTTGTTGTGAGCCTTTTGCGGCCCAGCACCAGGCCAGGAAATACTCGAAAATACTAGAAACAGAAAGAAGGACGGGGTTCAGGGTGGGAGGCCTTCCCCCAACCCAGACAGAGCCCTGAGTCTGCTCGCTGAAAGCTGCCTGGCCCCACCGCCCCTCTACCCACCATGCTGTACCTGCAGACCCAGGGCTTGGGGGGCGGGGCAGGGAGGTGTCCAGCTCGGGCCTCAAGCATCACCGATGCCAACCTCACCACCTTCTTACAAGCCCGGGGACCCTAAAGCTCGGTGGCCCGAGCAGTGGGGGAAGGGGGTGCAGGGCTGAGGAGGAGGGGGTTTCTGCTGCAGCCTCGATCTTGGGGGGAGGCTGAGCAAGTCTGTGTGTGCCACGGGGCCGTCAGGCGACATGAATCCCCGTCTCTAGCAACAGCTAGTTTCCAGAACATTTTAGAATCTGGTGGGCACCCCGCACCCTCCCCCAGGCTGGGAGAGGTCCCTGGGATTGGCAGGGAAGGCACTCCACTTCTCATCAGTGGCTCCTGGAAACCAGCCCCCCCGGGGCCCCTCCTGCCACAGGACACCCCATCTTTGAGGATTTGGTGGCTAAGATTGTCCCAGAGCCCCTGGCCCCAAGCAGGTGGCCACGGTCGCTGCTGAGAGTGTGCAGGCTTTCAGGCTGTTCTCACTGGCCATGCGTGCTGTGAGGCAGCAGAGGGGTGCCCGCACCCCCAGGCGCCCCCTCCCTCCTTGACCCCGTAGGCGCGTGAAAGAGCAGAGGACTCAGAACAAGATAAATTTGAATGCTTTATTGGGATTGCGAGCGATAAATGTTAAAGACAAAACCCAAGCAATGAATTTTGCCAGAAATATGAGCATGTTAAAGGGGTCGAGTTGAGGCCCGCACGGCCACTGCCAGATGGACCGCGACAGTGGGTGAGGTGACGTTGGGTGCTCGGCACGTGGGGGGTCTTCAGGCGATGGCGGGGGGGACCCAAGAGGGGGTCCCGCTGAAGACAGTTGAGGGGGGAGAAAAGATGGACGGCCACAGCCGGGGCTCGGGAGGTCAGACGGGGGCCCGGGTCGGGATGGCTGGGGACCCTGGGGGAGCTGTTTGCTGGGGGACACAGAGGAGCGTCGGCAGACGGCCCTGGAGCACCCACCCCATGAGAGGCAGAATGTAACACTGGGTGGGATGGGTGTCTGGCAGGATGGGCAGGCAATTTGGGGTGCCTCCGAGTCTTTTTGGATCTCAGGCCAATCTGTCTGGGTCCCAATTACAACAATTTGGCTCTTTTCAGCTCTGTCCAATGTTCCAAATGGCCCATTCCCGGACGCCTGCCGAAGGACCCTCTGTGCTGCTGGTGGGCTGACACGTACCGCCCCCAGGGTCGTGCCAGCCCCGTTGCTGGGGCCCAGAAGCCTTGGGCCTCTAGAATGCTAGTCGGGCGGTCGTGCAGGGGGGCTGCGCTGGGGGCAAAAGCGGGGGTGAGGTAAACCTCCCAGCCGCCCGGATCCCTGCCACAGCCCTAGGCGCCGAGATGGTGGCTGGTTCGGTACCGCCAGACCCATGGGCCTCGGGGCCGGAGCAACCCCAGCCGATGGACCACTCTTGCAGCTCTGCTTGCTCTGCGGGGCCTACACCCTCCTGACCTCCCCTACTCCCCGGCCTCACCCTGCCTGGGCCCCAGGACGCCCCGCGGAGCTCTGAGCCTCCTGGGGGCAAGACAGGGTGCTGAGAAGGCGGGTAAGGTGTCACCGAGGGGTGAGGGGAGGGCTCCCCAAGTGCACGGAAGGCGGCCACCTGCTCCAGCCCGATGGAGCCCCTCTACTCACACACCTGCAGCCCCTTCCCCCCCAGCCGGCCTGGGCCAGCCGGGGGCCCTTTCCTGATGGCCTCCGAGCACCTTCCGGACACCGAGGAGATGCCTCCCCACCCCCTCCTCCGCCCCTCGGGACCTCCGGGGGCCAGCCACTGTCCCCGAAGGCCAGGCCGGGCAGCGGCCCACTCCTTTCCCTCTGGCTTCTCCGTGGGGTGCAGTGGCCAGTGCCCCACGGAGGCCCCACTCTCGACTCAACCCAAGCGACAGGGACAGATAAAAACAAAAACCGAATCGGGGCGATAAATGGCGGAGAGCAGGACGTGCGGCGTGGCCACAGTAGTGGTGCTGGTGGTTCCGTACATTTGCTTTGTCACTGCTCCCCTGTTACGTGGGACGGGGGTAAGTTTAATTTGATGTGAGCGCGCGTAAAAAGCTAAGGAGGGATCAAAAAAAAAAAAAGGAAAAAAGCCCCAGGAGAAACCAATTAAAGGGGGGAATAGATCAATCGGCGTAAATTTGGGCTCCTAATTGGATCTGTAATTCTGCACTTGTGACTCCTGACTCTTCTCCTCCAAAGCTCGCGGGACCACTTCCTACTCCAGAGCATCCCCCCACCCAGCCCCCACTGCCCCCCACCCGCCCCTCCAACCGCCAGACTTCCCACACTCCCCACCATCATTGCTGGCCCCCTGGGGGGCCCCCCATTGCTGAGAGGCCCCTAGGAGGCCAGCAAGGATGGTCCCTAGGTGTGCTGGGGGTCCCAGATGTTTCTCAAAGAGCACACCTAGGGGGTCAGGCTCCGCGGTAGGGCACGTCTGGGTCTCTGCTCGGCTATAGCCACCTCCAGTCTGGCCAAACCCGGTCCTCGCTCCACACGATGGTGCAGGGCACAGATGCTGGTGGGGCCTGGGGGCATCGGGCTCACACCACGGGGGCCGTGGGGAGCGCCCTCTCCCACCCGAGGAGCGCATCCCAGGGGTCAGGAGGGGAGCACGGGGCATGAAAACCTCACCAACGAACAGCTTAGAGAAGGGTCTGAGATAGAATGCTGTCTGAGCCGCACCATGCTGGGTTCACCCATCTGTGTGCGTGCGTGCATGCGTGCATGGGTGTGAGGGTGTGCGTGTGCATGACAGTGTGCGTGTGTGGGAGGGTGTGCGTGTGAGGGTGTGCGTGTGCATGTGTGTGTGCGCGCGTGTGTGAGTGTGTGCGCATATGTGTGTTGAGGGTGTGTGTGTGCATGTGTGTGAGCGTGCGTGTGCATACGTGCACAGGGGTGTGCGTGCGTGTGTGTGTGAGCGTGTGTGTGCATACGTGCACA